GTAAAAATCAAGGGGATGATGTGCATTTTACCCAAGTTAGCAAATGGAAATGCTCACTGAAATTATTTTTAGGGGAAGAGAAATTTGTATCGAAGAACTAATCAGCAGATATTATCTTTTATAAAAAGAGTTACTTAAGCTTTTATAAGGAAATTAAAAAGTATAAATGAAAAATTGCTTTTGAATAGTGACAAGGACTACAGATTGCAGGTCATATGTGATAAACTGCGGAGCAGAAAACAGTAATCCAAATTATGGACTCCACAGGACCACCCACTGCAGGATGTCACAGATCCTTATAAAGATCCTTATAAAGAAGTGGTAGTGAACAGAAGCCAGCAATTCAGAGAATAGAACCCTCAAGAAGGAAGGGGTATCCACAGCCTTTGTTAACTGAAGATTGAATTGACGTGGGCAAATTTCTGAGAGAATGTTTGGCAATGTCAAATGCATGCGAGGAAAGAAGCCTGATATTGGAGACTCAGCTATTCATGAGTCAGAGTCAAAGAGAGGAAAGTTTTTAATTGCACTGGAATGCCTTCTGTCATTTGAAACGAGCTGGATTACACAGTTTGTAAATAATTAGATGGTAAGCCAAACCTATGGAAAGACTTTCAACCTTTGGTTAAAGAAATGAGCACAGGCCATTTAAAGGAAATCATGAGGATGGAATGAGATTTTCCATGACACAATGAGAACACAAAATAATTCAAAATGAAGTGAACAGCAGCGCTGAGATGAAGTAAGATCAATGAACTAATAGTCCAATTGAGGCTTTTCTTGTGATTCTGAAGATTAAGTTTATCAGGTGAGGGCTTCAGCGGAATTTCTAGGTCATGTGATGGGATTTCAAGGTCAGATGAAAGCAAATATAATCAAATGGTTCTCAAGTTCACATTCAATGTCCTTATTTCCTTTATATTTCTTCCTTCTAAGGTTTAAAAAGCCAGTATTTATTCTTTCTATATCGAGGTTGTGTTTTGCTAGTGTTTTCTTCACTTACAAAGCTAAAAGTAAAGCATTTCTTTTTTGTATATTTCCCCTCATAAGCTACTTCCAACTGAGGCAGTGAAACAGTAGCTTGCATTTTGTTTAGCGCAAATATCAAACTTTCTTACATTATGATCTCTATCCCCTACCTCCCCCCCCCTTTTAAAAAAATCATTCTGGTTGGTTATTTACCTTTGTTTTGTACTAAAATGAGCCTGAAAACTTAAAGTCACATAAAAGTTATGCCTGTGATTATGTTGGGATCCAAGTTAAAAGCACTTTGATCCCAATTAGTTATCCCACAGATTTACTTACATGCTAAGTGTATAATATTTTTAAAAGTGTACAATATTGCACAAAGTCTTTTATTACCTTATTTATTTATTTATTTATTTTTAAAATATTTTATTTATTTATTCATGAGAGACACAGAGAGAGAGAGAGAGAGAGAGACAGAGGCAGAGACACAGGCAGAGGGAGGAGCGGGCTCCATGCAGGAAGCCCAATGTGGGACTTGATCCGGGACTCCAGGGTCACGCCCTGGGCTGAAGGCAGACACTTAACCACTGAGCCACCCAGGGATCCCCTATTTTTTATTTGGCACCAATTCATGTATAGGTTATTCACATAAAAGCTGTTCATATCCATAAATTAAGAAATAGAAGATCTTGAGAAGTAATCCTGAAGACTGCTTTTTCTCAAATATCTCCATCCCTTGAGAAATAGGTGACTGGTAGTAAATAAACCATTTTCTCTCAATTATTCCCACACTACTTCATGAAACACAAATAGTAGCACAGAACAAGATAACATAGTATGGTCTTAAAATGATTTTTTGAAAGTTTTACTTTGTTGCATTTTATGATTTTTTTCGGTGGAAGCCAAAAATCATCAAATCTTCTCTGGTTGTCTCCTGGATCATTTTGCATTCTGAAATTCAATCAAAATATTTCGTTCATGGCCAAATGCAATATATGTCTTATGTCTTACTGATTCTTAGTTTATGACAAGAGCTGACAAGAGCAGCCAGATTTTTAAAAAAACATTTATCTAAAGAAGAATACTTTTTGTCTACTAACTTGAATATTTAGAATACTGAGTGAAGATCACAAGGGGCAGGGGTCCCCGGGTGGCTCAGTGGTTGAGCATCTGCCTTCGGCTTAGGGTGTGACCCCAGGGTCCTGGGATCGAGTCCCTCATCGGGCTCCCCAAGGGGAGCCTCCTTCTCCCTCTACCTGTGTCTCTGCCTCTGTGTGTGTCTCTCATGAATGAATAAATAAAATCTAAAAAGAAAAAAAAAATCACAAGGAGCAATGACCAGTATAATGAAGTTGGAGAGGCAGTTTGGTCTAAATGGAACATTTTGTAGGAGAACAAAATTTCATGGCTTACGATTGACTTATAAAGACCTGTCAGTTAATAATGCATCAGAGACAGCAATTCAATCATTAACATGTCTACCCACCAATCCAAGAAGCTATTACTGAGAAGAGAGAGCCACTGCTCTTTAGGTCATGTTGGAAGAGCCCAGTGAGGGGTTCCTGGGTGGCTCAGTTGGTTAATCAGGTGACTCCTGATTTTAGCTCAGGTCTTGATCTCAGGGTTGTGAGATCGACTCTACATCCGGCTCTGCGTGCTCAGAGGAGAGTCTGCTTCAGGATTCTGCACCCCCTCCCCCGCAACTATAGGCTCTCTCTCTCTCTCTCAGATAAATAAATAAATAAATATTAAAAAAAAAAAGGATCCCAGCAGATTGGTAAGAGTTCTTTAAAATGAAAATCTTTTACAAATGAAGAAAGACCAAAAAAAAAAAAAGTTAAAGAAAGGCAGATATGTTGCTTGTAATGTTTTATTTTTTGAGTGTCCTGAAGAATGGGATATATTACCTTTAGGAAAATGCCAGTTGCTTGATTTTGGAAAGCTTCAGAGAGTTCCACTTGAAACTCAAAGATAGCTCTCATTAATTTGGCTTCACATAACTTGAAAGTTGTAATAACTTTTCAAAATGAGAAATCTACCAGTTTCTTAATGTCTAATAAGATTCATCAACTCATCCAACAGAGAGATTTAGAAAGTTATTATCTTGCAAACATGTTTATTCGCTAGAGTACTTTTTTTTTTTTTTTTTTTTTACTCTTTTTTTCTTCTTCTAGTATGTATGGCACGAAGTTAGTGATGGGGGATTTAAGAGCAACATCAATCACTAGGAACTTAGTATTCTTGCTCTATATTCTTATTTCAACTTCTTATTAAGTAGGAGTTTGTAATTGTGATTTATTCCTGCTCAAAGCTAGCTAATTTCGCTTAGGCCCTGACCCATGTAAATTCTTAATGAATTACAAACAGGATTATTTATTGTCATTTTCCCAGTTAACCACAGTGAGAGTGACTGACTGACAAGTGGAGTTGGGAAGCACTATGTTGTCTTAAATTTGGAAGCACCGTGACGATATTGAATGGCGATACCTTTGGAGGCGTAGTGAAGAGAATTCTGCTTTTAAGCTACCTCCAACTCTTCTTAGAGGCACCAACCCAGTGCTCCAGGAAGGGGCTTGTCAGGAGTTTGCATCTTTTCCATCTCCAGGTGACCTCATCTGTAGTGTTCCCCAATAGCTGCAGATGATAGAGCCTGCCACAAAGTCTCATCACATGGGAAAGGTAGCAGACTTGTAGTCCAAAGCCTCTATGCCTCGTTTGAGGTTTAGGGTCTTGTATAAAACTGGATGTTACCTGGGATTATTTCCTCTTTGTGAGTTAAAATGGCTTAACTTCCTTATTCTGCAAGTACGCGAGCACCACCTATGGTGGGAGGAATTGAGGCAGGAAATACTAAAGTGCTGATATGGGAAGATCTGTCATTTCCTATGGAAATAGCTGTCAGGGCTTTCTTTGGAGTCCTCAAAATTAAAACAACATACATCGCCTTGTGATCTCGGAAGTACCATTCACATCCAAGGGATTGTGACAACCAAAAGCAGCAAGTCAAGGCTAAAAGTTGAAACTACAAACATTTACTAGGTTGAGTATGAGAATAAAAATAAAAAAAAAAAGTGTAGTCACCCCTTGATTGTTCAGACTGGCTGCAGTTTGTGATTCTCCATGCCCTTTGATTGTCCTTCCCCTTCCTACTACCAACTATTGAATATTTCTCTGCTCATTAACACCTGTCTGGCAGTGGGAAGGTGAAATGCTAATCATCAGGGTTGGTTAATTGTTAGCTGCTATGATCCTTTGTCTTTTATTTTCTTGAAGTTGAGGTAGGGAAAAGTTGAAACCTCTTACTGCAGTGTTGGCTGTAGATCTTAAACTTTAGGTCACATTCCCTTTTTTTTACTGCATAGATAAGTTCAGATATTTTGTGTTCACAAAGGTATGAGAGAGAATTAAAAAATCCACTAATTCATCAGTTCCTAAGGGTCACTCTAACTTCACATTACCTATTTCTTGCTGTCCAGGGTTTGGAAAATCTTAATCGCCTATAAGGAAGCCTCAGAATTTAATAGTTGCAACTTTAAGTGTGGCCCTGTATAAATGACTACACTTGCTAAGTGGATGTAGACCAATAGGGAATCCACCTGGAGAAAATGACTGAAGACTCTCCTCCCCTTTGCCTCTGGTAGACATTACAGGACCCTCCCTACACCAAATAAGGGAAGAGGAATGTTCTAAGCATTAAGGGCACTAAGAATAAATCTGAGCTATCACAGATAAGATTACTTTCAAGTCTTTATTTCATGTTTTCTGACATAGACCCCCAAGATCTGTAATTATCTTAGGAAAACTGCGGAGGTTTAGACAGTACTTTTAGTTATTTTGTTGTTCTTTTTTTCCCCCCCTTTCTTTGGGGCTGGAGAGCTGGTGTGTGTATGTGTGTGTGTGTGTGTGTGTGTGTGTGTTCCCCTAGAGTGCCAAAAAAAAAAAAAAAAAGTGCTGAAGAGTCCCAGGGAGATGAGGCTATTTTTGTTCGAAGCTGATATTTCTGACTGAGCCACAAGTGTGGCTTGGAAAGGGCTCAGGTTGTTTCCAGGGGGAGAACTCTGCAGAGAAGAGACGGAGTTCAACAGGACAACAAAGGGCCAGCAGAAACAGCCAGGAAAACGAAGAGCCCTCAGGTTTTTCACCCAGAGCCCCCAAATCAGAGTTCTCGAATTCTAAAGTATTCCTCAAAGTGCCACTTGACGGGAACTTTTCGCCTGCCTTTTCCTTTCTCCAACCACCATGACTGAGATCACTGCTGAAGGTACTGCTACCATTAGGGAAAACAGGTGGCAATCGACAGACAGTGACCTTGACTGTCAAGTTGCCGGCTTAAATGTTGCTTTTAGATACTTGCCTTGATCAATGAGTCTATATGGGATTGGAGAAGTGGATTTGGAAGCTGAGAGGCTGACAGATGTGTGTGTTGGGGGAGAGAGGGGGGTTTCTGTGACATTTTGCATGGGGAAACTCTTCTGTGCTATGCCCGAGGCCCCACTGGTACCAGTTGTCACCCGCACCTCTATAAATAGCGATGGTCATGTCATGTTGTGCCTGCTATCTTACCTTGCAAAAATTAGGAGACTTGCAAGGATAGAGACCACAATGAACCTAAAATATTGCATTTAATGTTTCAATGTAGACAAATGATTTTCAGCATTTTTGCCTTATGACATTTTGAAATGGAGATCTTAAATTCGTTTTTCCTTTCCAACCTCAGTGTATAAATATGCACACACACGTCCATAAGATTTAAGATGCAAGTGCTCCCACAAAATTTGTATCTATTTACTATGGGTAGATATACAGAGGCAAGGTTTGGAAATGCACAAAGTGTAGATCAGTGTGATTTTAAACTAAAGCAATTTGAATTCTGATTCTTTTCCCACACCCATGTCTCTTTGACCTCTCTCTATATATATAGAAGAACTCGATCTTTCTGTTAAAGCAAATATTTTGTTTCAGTGCTTCTTCTGAAAAGGTTTGTGCCATCACTAAAACATAATTTTTAATGATTCGATCATGGTTGCCATCGTTTCACCTGTATATAAATATGAAAAACATATGTAAATATTTAAAAAAATGTATTTCTTAGAAGGAAAGGGCCCTTTAAAACAACTAACCCATTTTGAATACAGACACAATCCGGCTCTAGTTGGGGTAAAAATCTGGGAGGTGGATCTAATATTTGCCTCTGACAGCTGTAAGAAAATCAGACAGGTGGTGCTCTCATCAGCTTGCAAGTTGAATGCTGCTCTGGTTTGTTTTTAATTAGACAACTGAAAAACAGAACGTGTGGTTTTGGCTCTTTGTGTAGACGTTTGTATGGACACACAGTGATTTCAGAGTTGGAGATATTCAGTCAATATTTATAAGGAGAAATGTCTTACTGTACCTTCTACTGGGAAATTTAGTCTGGCACCCCAAATTGATAAAAACAAATACTGAGAGGTTTCTGTGTATCAGGTATTTTGCTCAGGACTTTGTGTTATTTACTTATTTCAACCTCATACAATTCAATTAAGTCAGCATTATTATCTCCATTTTGCAGAAATAGAAACTGTAACTCAGATATTTGGTGACTTGCTTGAGACTATGGCATTACCAAGATTAGAAGCCAGCTCAGCTCCCTTAGATCTAGTTGGCGTTTTTTTTTTTTCTTTTCCGTAAGAGGATATCAGATTTACTCTTTACCAATTTTAGTTCAGAATTTGCTAACTAAATATAAATAGCATTTTTTCCTATTCCTTAGATATTCTATGTCATGTGGCCTTTGGTTTGTCTTAAAGAGAGCTATCTATAACAAATGCTTGCTTAGCCCTGCACAATTAGTAAGTTACCTACGCATGTGTTTCCTTGTCTGTGGATGGGGTGTGGACATCTAGCCGATTCAGGAGGTCACTTGACCAAAGTGTGTTTGGTTTGCTTGTGGATTATTCTCTGTAGTACTTTGCACTTGATTCATAAAACTTTTCTTGCAGGAGAATTCTTGATTATGAAATAGAACTTTTGTTTCTATCTTCTCCCCATGGAGCATTTAAAGGATTCTCAGAAGACCTCCTGAAGTCTCCCAGAAAAAATCACTGAATTAGTGATAAAGTGTAAAAACACCATCTAGTGATGATCATTTCCTGCTCCCTGGCCTTTGCAGTTCATAGGATCTATGTCATCTGAACATCAATTATGTACTTTTTTCCTTTTCTGGAATGATTTATTAATCATATTTCTCAAATGAAAATTAGGCTGCCAACTAAGAGCTGAATTTTTAAGGTTAGCACCTCAGTCATTCTCTGAGCTTTAGAGCTTCTTGCACACCTCTCTCCTACATGCTTTTCATTTTGTCTTCATGATTCACGGTTTTTTGTATCCCAGCCACAATAGCCTTCTTTCTGGCTTTTATAAGGAGTGTGTTTTTGTATAGAACTTTGGTACATGTTATTCCTTTAGCCTGCAATAGTCTTTCCTCTCATACGCTGTGTTTCCTCTGCCACCACTTTTGGGCACATGATGGAAAAGTAAGTATTGCATCAATAGCCTGTGACATCTCCTGATTACTCTTCCCATCCATTTATCACAAAGCAAGCAAATGCTGCCCAGCAGTTATGAAAGGTAGAGCTAGAGTAGCCCTTTAGAGAGCTCTAGTTCACTGTCCTGACCTCAACTTTTGGAAAACTGAGGCTCATGCAGGTTAAATGACTCTCCCATGGTCATTGATAGTTAGAGGAAGTTTGAAGATATAATTCTTGTCTCCTATGGTTTCTCTCAGTGCTTATTCAACTATAACACAGGACACATCAATAAATCTTAACAAGTTCTTTATATAGATTACCATCTATGTGGAGCATCTGTCTTTGGCTCAGGTTTTGATCCCAAGGTCCTGGGGTCGAGTACCACATCGGGCTCCCCACAGGGAGCCTGTCTCTCCCTCTGCCTACGTCTCCATCTTTCTCTGTGTCTCTCATGAATAATAAAAAATAAAAATCTTTGAAAAAAAAGAAGTAGGACAAAGTCGAAAGCCAAAGGATTTGAGAAAAACAACAGGTTTGATTCGGGCCCTGATGAATTAAAGATAATTTTAATGACAATTATAATAAAAATTTATATATGTTGACATTGAATGTCAAGCACTGTATGAAGTCTGTTATATGATCAAGACAACTGAATGAGATAGATACTTTTATCATTGCTATTAATAGAATAGGAAACTGAGATTTAGATTAGGGATTTGCCTAACTTCACAGGGCTGTATATAGTATAGCTAGGATTCACATCTAAATCTCTAACCTGAGTCATGATGAATACTTTTCCTTGCTGTGTGAGACTAATAGCCTGGTGTTACTTCAGAGGTTGATGGGGTCTATGCTAGGCTGCTGTTCTGGTTTGGCCCATGTTGGATTGAGTAGATTTGGTCAGGCTACAGACTGGACCAAACTCAAAGAGTACTAGGGGTTTAGGACTATAAATAGCCTTCTACCTTCTTTCCAGAGGCTGTTATTTCTAGACAAGTGCCAAAGTTACCTCCCCTTATGAGTTTCATGTGAACTTGCCATGACCAATTTCAGTATCTATTTCACAACATATAGCACTAGGCAAAAATATCTTTGGAGTTATTTTGATAACAATGTATAGTCAATTCTTTTACCTATAGTTAATTCTTAATAGCTTTGTTGAAAAGAGAGACTTTTTAAAAAGCTGATAAAATAGGTTATTTTTCCAAAATGGCAGGGTAACTAATATACAGTCAAATTGTGCTTTATAATAACATCTATATAACTATATTTTTTGGGTCCAAGGACCTCTAAAATATAGGAAAGTACAAATTTCTGGTAATAGATTCAAGTTGTTAGAGTTCCTATATATAGTTAACTTGTAACTTACTAGAACACTTAGTTAAGGGAAATTCTTTTCTAAAAAAAAATTAGAAATTAGGTCAAACTGCCAACTTCTAAACTATTATGTAACTTCAGAATTCAGGAGGTTTATCTTACCCTGTAGGAGATTGTTTCCTCACTATTAGCTCAACTGTGTCTTACTGCTTCTGTAACAAACCTGTGGAAGGATTTGATATCCGAAATTTAGAACAAAAATGGTAATTTATTTTACACAATGTGCTGCTTCAACAGACTGCAGAGCACATGAGCACCAATTGTTGCTCTCAAGAAAAAAGATCAAGAATTCACAGCCAGACTAATTAACTATGCACACAAGTTATGTCACCTAGAGCAACAGATGGTGAAATTAAGAGAAGGAGGAGATCCAGCCTACATATTTGTGTTTATCTTGCCAAAACCAAGAGTGGCTATTCTGGCCCAAGTTGAGATGACTTGGGTTGAGGGCAGGAGGAAAAGGATGAAGTACTAGGTTCAAGCCCTAATTAGTTACAAATTATGTTCTGTTCAAGAAAAGGAATACACCACATATAGAATATAATTTTTAGTTCTTTGAACACATTTTAAAAATTGACATTGACAAGACAGTATATTTGGAGAAGGACCATGATCATAAGAGGCACACAAGTGAAAAGACTTGCACACAGGTTGTTTAAGGAGAAGATTCTTTCTTTCTTTCTTTCTTTCTTTCTTTCTTTCTTTCTTTCTTCTTTTTTTCTTTTCTTTCTTTCTTTCTTTCTTTCTTTCTTTCTTTCTTTCTTTCATTCTTCTTTCTTCTTTCTTCTCCTCCTTCTCCTCCTCCCTCTCCTCCTCCCTCTCCTCCTCCTCCTCCTCCTCCCTCTCCTCCTCCTCCTTCTTCTTCTTCTTCTTCTTCTTCTTCTTCTTCTTCTTCTTCTTCTTCTTCTATGGAGCACTAGAGGACAAAGCAAAGACCCATCGATAAAAGTCTAGAAGCCGCAAAAAAGCCAACTCTTGGCAAAATATAACACAGAACTGAACCAACCATTAAAATGATAGCTAGAACTATTCTGATTCAAAACCAAAAGAGAAAGAAAGAAAGAAAAAGAAAGAAAGAAAGAAAGAAAAAAGAAAAGAAAAAAGAAAGAAAGAAAGAAAGAAACAAGAAAAATGCAACAAAAGGAACAGTCTCCAATTTTCAAATATGCTTATATTATACAGAGGGATCCAGAAATGTGCATGACACTTGTAACAGCAGAAAAGGAAATAATGATTTAATGATTTTAAATATATATGTGTATATATATATATATATATATATACATATATATATCTGTTATAATGTCAGGATTTGGAAGTTAGTTTCATTTAATTTCTTAAAATTATTAGTGACATTAATTAGACATCTTAATTAGTA